AAATTCTCTTTCAATTAATAGAATATTGTTTTAAAATATTGCTTAAATTTAGCCTGATATCACCCAAAAAGCTTGCAACACTTTTAAAATGTATTTTAACATAATCAGGTAAATATTGCTCTTATAAGCTAGGATACAGTACTCAATTTAAAATTCTCTTTCAATTAATAGAATATTGTTTTAAAATATTGCTTAAATTTAGCCTATATCACCCAAAAAGCTTGCAACACTTTTAAAATGTACTTTAATATAATCAGGTAAATATTGCTCTTATAAGTTAGGATACAGTACTCAATTTAAAATTCTCTTTCAATTAATAGAATATTGTTTTAAAATATTGCTTAAATTTAGCCTGATATCACCCAAAAAGCTTGTAACACTTTTAAAATGTACTTTAACATAATCTTACCATCCTCAGGCTAATGGCATGGTAGAGCGAGCCAATCGTACTCTTCAAAATTTCCTTTTGAAGTGTACAAAAGGCAATCAGAAAGATTGGCCTGGAGTTCTACCTGGTATTGTATTTGCCTACAATACATCAAGGCATGAATCCTCAAAATTTACGCCATATGAGATGATGTATGACAGGAAAGCTTTACTGCCCTGTGAGGTATGATATATATATATCATTATTTGTATAAAATTATTATTCGTAATAAATTTTTATTATTTAAGGATGATAGAGAACCAGAAACAGATCTTGACGATCTTTCTGATACAGATTATGACTGCAATTTCCAAAGAAGGGCAGACAATATGAAAGGCATATTCAAGACTGCAACAAAAAATACTATAAAGGCTCAGCTTAAGCAGCAACGAGATTATAAAACTCGTAATGCTGCTAAGAATGCAATTTATCACATAAATGATAAAGTACTTGTATGGAATAATCGTCGGGCTGACAGGAAAGGAGGGAAAATGTTGCAGCCTTGGGTAGGTCCTTATACAATTGTTAAAATTGTTAATAGTAAATTTATTATTTTTAACAAAATATTTATACATATTTAGGCAATGTAGAATTATCCTCTTCAATAGGAAAAATTTTACATACTAAGGCTAATATAAGTAATTTAAAGCACTACATAGAGGGTAACAAAGGTATCATTTTTTAAATATATGAATATAACTTTTTTTAATGGTAAAGATACAGTCAAAAATATTGCACATTGTGAAACTATAGAGGGTGTTCAAGATCAAGGTAATATCAGTTTATTCATAAAATAATATTGAACAAATAATTAAGTTTGTAGGCTTCTTAAAACTATAGTTGGAGAAGGAGAAGGTAAACAAATGCATTTGGGAAAAAGGAAAATATATTTTTAATTATTATATTTTCATTAGAAGAAGCAGTATTTAAAGAAATGTCCTGTGGAATAAAAGTTTCAGGAGAAAGTTTTATTTTTTAAAAATTGGAAAAATTATATTTTTGATAAATTTAAAATTCTGGGTTGGAATTTAGAAAGGAGGATACTAAAATAAAACGTGTCAAGGGAAAGGGTATAATACATAAAATTATTTAATATATTTTTTTGGATATAGATACTTTTGGTGAAGATCCAATAAAAGCTATTAAAAGTATAGTGAGAGAGGAAGGATATATAGGTGTACAAGATCAGGGTAGTAATATTTTTTAAAAATATGTTATTATTTAATTATCAAATTTAGATGACCAAATTATTGTGGAAGCAATAATACCAAAGAAAATTGGTGAACTTTTTCTGCCCACAACAAGGAACTCGAAGGTATATCACTCTAAACGGTTCAATTTCAAAGTAATTGGACGTTATCCCAAGATAAAATGTGGTATATTAAAAGAGATTGATTTTCACAACCGATCATATTGTGGGTGATGGGAACTGTTTTTTTAGGTTAGAATCTATATATAATATTTAAATTATTTACCTATTTATAGGTGTATAAGTCAAGAGATATCAAATAGCCAGGAAAATTATAATTACCTTAGAGAGGAATGCATTCTTTTTATGAGGAGCGAAGATTTCAAATTGGAAATGGGAAAATTTATAGGATATCCTGTAGAGGAATACCTAGTTAACAGAAATGTTATAAGAAACGGTGTCTGAGCAACAGAGGTAGAAATATTATCTATGGCCACATTGTTACAGACAAATATATTAATCTATACCCAATATAAATGGGCTTATTATTCGCCCATAAAATTTTTTAATAATATTAAAATATTTAAAGAAAATATTTATATATGCAATGTAAATAACAATCATTTTGTTAGAATTATATCAATGTGATTATCTGTTCTAATATTTTTATTCCATTATATTTATTGCAATTTAGTTGAAAGATGATAATCGGTAAGTATCTTTTTGTTAAATTTTATTGTACTCATATTTTTATTAATAGTATATTTTATAAAAAGTACAATAGTTTGACATCCTTTTTATAAGTTTAATTCTATTCAATTGCAAATTTAAATTATATTTATTGCATTTTATATTAATTCCAATTTAGTTGAAAGATGATAATTGGTAAGTATCTTTTTGTTAAATGTCATTGTACTCTCTATTTTTATTAATAGTTATTTTTATAGTACAATAGTTTGACATCCTTTTTATAAGTTGAAATCTATTCAATTGCAAATTTAAATTATATTTATTGCATTATATATTTTTTTTAATACTTCATCTTTTTCTTAAATGTTATTCAATTGCGAATTTATACAATATATTTATTGCATTATATTTTTTATTAATAGTTTTTTTTATAAAAAAACAATAGTTAGCCATCTTTTTGATGAGTTAAGTACTATTCAATAGCTAATTTATATTATATAGCTTTTTATATTTTTTATTAATAGATATTTTTATAAAAAGTACGATCATTTGATCAATGATATGTAATTTATTTTTAAATATGAATAAATTAACCTACCATGTGTATATAGATTTCAATCAAACTTTTTAAAAATTAAGCTATGACGTTTTCGAAGTTAAATTATTTATAGGTATATCAGAAATTAAAATATTATCTATCTCATAAATTTTAATATTAGAAAATTTTAATTATTTATCACTCATAAGAGTCAATATGCTAAACATATAAACTTTAAGCATCACTTGTCAGTCATAAGTGTTAATATTGCAATATAAAGTCATAAATGTCATTATTACTAATAATAGAATCTTTTTAACATTACATGTCAGTCATTAATGTCAATATCATTAAATAATAGAAATTTTTAACATTATGTGTCAGTCATAAATGTCAGTATTACTAAATAATCATAAATGTCAATATTACTAAATAATAGAAACTTTTAACATATCATGTCAGTCATAAATGTCAGTATTACTAAATAATAGAAACTTTTAACATATCATGTCAGTCATAAATGTCAGTATTACTAAATAATATAAACTTTTAACATATCATGTCAGTCATAAATGTCAGTATTACTAAATAATAGAAACTTTTAACATATTATGTCAGTCATAAATGTCAGTATTACTAAATAATAGAAACTTTTAACATATCTTGTCAGTCATAAATGTCAATATTACTAAATAATAGAAACTTTTAACATATCATGTCAGTCATAAATGTCAGTATTACTAAATAATAAAAACTTTTAACATTACATGTCAGTCATAAATGTCAGTATTACTAAATTATATAATGATATTTTAATAAAATATTATTATAACGTCAATCATAAATGTCAGTATTACTAAAGGGAGTTAATTTAAATTAAGTTACAATATCACACTAAATTTTATAATGTTATTTTATTATAACGTCAATCATAAATGTCAGTATTACTAAAGGGAGTTAATTTAAATTTAAGTTAAAATATCACGTTACACCGGCATCTGCATTTTTTGGCTTGGGGGGAGGGGGGATTTGTCCCCCTGCCCTCCCCCCGCTGCGTACGAGCCTGCAAGTATATTTTTTGCATATATAAATTGGATCCATTTAAAATATGTTTAGTATCTTTTTCTAAAAAAATTGAAAGAAATTGGAATTAACCTGTTAAGAGAAATAAATAACATCTGAGGTAGGCGTATATTCTTGAGTATTCAAATTTGTAAAGGAACTGTATTATTGATTTATACCGATTATTGTGACCTAAAAAGTATTATAGTTTGAAGAAGAAATTGATATTTTTCTAGCACTTAATAATAGAATAATTGTATGTAGTCCTGGTTATTTTTTATCGAAAATTTTCTGGGTTTCAGGGTTTATTTTTCAAATAAAGATCCAGCCGCTTTAAAATAATATAAATAACACGAATTTTTTTAATTTTCTTCCAAATCAGATAGTTTTAAGAGTTGACAAATTTTGGTTCTTGTGCATTGATTTCTTTTTTTTGTTAATTTTAAAATTTTAATTTAGACCTTTTTTTGTTAATTTGTTAGGATTTTCTTTATTTGATTATTTTGATTAGAATTTCAGTTTTTGCGAATTTGGATTTCCTTTCCTAGAGCCTGAGAAATTAGGTTTTATGATGCCGAATTCCCCCAGGTCATCAAATTCATTTTCGCCCCAGTCCACCTAAACTTCTATACCATCATAACATAAGCCAATGATGTTATACCCCCTACTCCCATCTTCCCAAATGGAAATTCGCAATAAGAACTTCAGCTCAATGCTAACTCCCCCCCCCCCCCACTCCCTCCAATTTTTTTTTGAAATAAAGAAAGTATCTTCATATCAAAGAAATATTTATTTATATAATATTTTATTAATTTTATATTTTATTATAAGGTAAATATAATTTAAAAAATATTTTTTACCTTATATCGATCCACCCAAAAGGTGTTTAATACCTGTGTATGTGATTGGTTAATCCCAGCAATAACCACCCAAAAATGCACAATTTTAAATTAGAGCTATAAAATAAATATTTTTTTAGTGCATTTCATAAAATTTAAAAACAAGATCTTTATAAATTTGTTACACGTTTTTAATTCTTTCATATATTTTGTAAGATTTAAAATTTATTTATTATATTATGGGGTCAATAAAATAAATAATATAATTATAAATTTTCGGTTTTTACAAAAATTTAAATGATAATAATCGTATGATTTTGTTTAGGTTATTCTCTAATATTAATAAACGAAACATAAGGTTCGTGTTATATTATTAACATTGGAATTATATTTTAATCATAGGTATATCTACACACAAAGAAAAATGGTTATTACTTCATCTGATAGCAATTATAAAAAATTTACTTCAAGTTCTACCCAAGTAATTGGAGATATGAAATCAAATTCGCATCATAACAATTTGAATAAATCCTTGGAAGAAGTTGATTGTGAAATTTTACAATTGATTAGGGAAGAAAAGGATAGGCAAAAGAGTGGAATTGAGTTAATTGCTTCAGAAAATTTTGCATCAAGAGCTGTCTTGGAAGCATTAAGCTGTTGTGCTCATAACAAATATTCTGAGGGTTATCCTCATAATAGGTTACATATTATGTATATTTTGTCACAATAATTTATTATAAACAGGATGTATTATAATGTTGAAAATTGTATTTACATAAAATGACAATCAACAATATATCTTAATTATTACTTATTTTAAAATAGATATTATGGTGGCAATGAAGTTATTGATAAAATAGAATTATTATGTCAAAAGAGGGCTTTGGAACTTTACGAACTAGACCCAAATAAATGGGGAGTTAATGTGCAAGTTTATTCTGGATCCCCTGCCAACTTTGCTGTTTACACAGGTAATTTTTATGCACATTTTAACTAGTTATATGGCATATTACATGTATTGAATATTTCACTTAATTTAATCCTGTATCTACCCTAAAATGTTAAAAACTATATTTTCTTTATAATTAATTATTCTATAAAATATTAAAAACAATTAATCAGTCATTAGAATAATTGAAATGATCAAAGTTCTATTATCTCATTTTTTTATTCATTAATTTATTATGTTTAATATGTTGAATAAATCTTCTTTTTTTGCCTTTAACCCTTTTTTTTCTTTATATTTTTTATAATTTTATTTTTGAAAAATAACAAGCTTTGGTAGGCCCTCATGGGAGGATAATGGGCTTGGACCTAACTGATGGAGGTCATTTAACCCATGGATTCATGACAGAAAAGAAGAGAGTTTCTGCTACTTCCTTATTCTTTGAATCTATGCCTTATAAAGTTATATTTCTTATACTATTCTTAATCTTGAAAAAAACTATTTTATTGCCATAAGGGTCAGTTTTTGTTCATCATCCCATGAGGGTGGTGGGAATTATACATCTAATATTAAATTTGTTTCAGTAAAATTTTTAAAAAAATACCCTAATTTTTTTAATTTGATAAGTCAGTTTGGATCTTTATTTAATTTTAATATATTTTTACTTAAACTAAAATATGAAATAATTTGTGATAAATGTAAGCCATTTTGTTTATTTTGCATAAAAAATATTTAAATCCCCTTGCTTGCCCATTTTTTAAAAAAATAATTGTAACCTGCCCTATGTTTAAAATGTTTCAACCTGCCCAAAGTATAGACAGATGTGGGCAGGCTAAAAACATGCCAATATGAAATAATTTTGTTTTGTTCAAATTAAATTTTATATCTATGCTTGTAAATAAAGAAGAACAGAATCTTTTTTTAAGGGTTCTGCCTGAATCCTTTGTCTCTAACTTGTTAGTATCTATAATAATTTTAAAATATCTAATCTTATTTAAATACTTGAATTGGTAAACAATTTACAGATACTTTGACATTTTGATTTTTATGTTATAACTGCAAATATTTATTATACTATTAGGTTGACTCCATCACAGGCTTAATCAACTATGATGATTTGGAGAGAAACGCCAAATTGTTTAAGCCTAAACTAATCATAGCTGGTAAAAAATGATTGTTTATGATTTTCCTCCTTTTCTTTGCTACTTTATTTTTTTTAATCTGTCAAAAAAACTAGTTATTCTTATTCTTAGGGGGTGTATTGATACCACTTTTTGGAGACTGATCAAATACCATATTTCCGACACTGATTTGATTTTCTTTGTTATACATATTTATTAAGATGGCACCATTCCAATCCAATATTTGTTAATATATACTTCTAACAATCTGTTACCTATATTTACATTGATTTTTTTGTCATTATTCTATATAATATAAAATTAAGGAATAATAATAATCTGTGAATATCTTTTAAATGCATTTTAATTAATAAATTTTAAAAATATGTTTTATCTTTAAATTTGTAGAAAAGCTTGTATTTAAAAAGATATATAGAAAATAATGCCTTATCTTTTTAAGCGTACTTAAAGAATAATTATATATACAGTTCCATATTAGTTTTTTAACGATCAGAATTTTGATTTAAATTATTTTAGCCTAGTAAAAATAAATAGAAATTTATATTCTATCACACTATTTATGGTGAATTCCATATCAAATCAACCAAGGTTTCAACCCGACCCCTTTCAATTTTTTTTAAATTTTGCATACTGGTGGTATATACTATAACTAAGAAAAAAATGAAATTTTACCTCCCAAAAAGGCTTACCCGCTAAGATATGGGCGTTTAAAGCGCGGAAAAATGGTACATTTTTGACAAAAAGTGCCTCATTTATTTTCAAATATCTCGAGAAATAATTAAGTTAGAAAAATAATTTAAATTTTATTATGTAGCTTAATAATAGTTCTTTAATATGACATAAAAATAAATATGATATAAATTTGATGAATGTCCAAAACCGGATGTATAAAACCGGAAATGGCCATAGAAAAAAAAAGGTATTTTTTTTTTCGAAATTTTTTTTCTATAGATAGATATAACACTGCTTTATATTTGTGCCAAATCCTAGCCTGGGATAAAAAAGGGTCTAGGAGTTATGACTCTTTATATGGCTTAAATTGATCAAAAATATCTTCATTTAATGAATACTTATGAAATAATGTTTTTTTAAAAATTATGTCTAAATGATAGGCCCTAACTTTTTTTTATTTTTAATTGTTAACATATTGTGAGTGAATAGATTTGCATTCTTACGACCCAAAAACTGTGTTTTAGCAGGTGGACCAGGTACACATACCATGTGTATCTGCACATTACACCAAAATTTTAAGCTTATTTTAATAGGGGGAAAATTAAAACAGCTTACAAACAATAATGATCATTATAATTATCCTCCAATAAACGATTATAAACATTGTATTGCACAAAGTCTTTGCAATCCTGCCCAGCCTGGATGTTACTTCAATAAATGTAAATTTTGTCCTGGATCATCCCAAATAAAAGAAAGACTTATTATATTATTTGATACGAATTCAATAGATTATATATCATTTAAACAATGGTTGGTAGTTGATAGAACTACGCTCGAAACGCTGACAAAATCAGCTTATAAATTCCTAGATTATTTAATTGAGAAATTAGACAATTTGATTCCACATTCATTTATAGCATCACAACAATCATTATTTCAAAACAATTTAAAATCTAATTTAAATGTTGGCGAATACTTAGTTATTGCTGACTTTTCGGAAAATTATGCATTTTTAATGCAAGACCATGCACAGGGATTTCATTGGACAAATAATCAGTCCACTATTCACCCTTTTATCATTTTTTATCGTCAGGACAACACTATAAAACATATAAGTTTAGTGGTGATATCAGATTGCTTAAAGCACAATGCCTGTGCCTTTTATTTATTTCAAACTAAAATGATCTTATTTTTAAAAGAAAGATTTGATATATTGACCAAAATTTATTATTTTTCTGATTGGGACCGTAATCCAATATAAAAATAAAAAAAATTTCATAAATCTCTATAATCATGAATGTGATTTTGGTATAAAGGCCGAGTGGCATTTTTTTGCTACAGCTCATGGAATAAGTCCGTGCGACAGTTTAGGAGGTATTACAAAACGGCTAGCAGCTCGAGCTAGTTTGCAACTGCCATATCAAAACCATATTTTGACACCAATGGATTTATTCGACTTTGCAACAAATAATATACATGGAGTAAATTACATTTTTGTAAGCAATAATGAATACAATAATATGGAAAATCATCTAGAAAGCAGATTTTTGAGAGCAAAAAGAATTCCGGGAACACAAAAATACCATGCTTATATTCCCCTTGATGAAAATAAAATTAAAGTCAAAATTTATACCAATTCTTTAGATAATTTAATATATGATATATTGTAAACATAATTATGAATTATTATATTATATGTAATTATGCATTTCAGAAAAATAAAGTTATAAATTGGTTTAGAATTATTTTGTCAAGTAATTTTCAGTCACAACATGTTAACAATTAAAAATAAAAAAAAGTTAGGGCCTATCATTTAGACATAATTTAAAAAAAAACATTATTTCATAAGTATTCATTAAATGAAGATATTTTTGATCAATTTAAGCCATATAAAGAGTCATAACTCCTAGACCCTTTTTCATCCCAGGCTAGGATTTGGCACAAATATAAAGCAGTGTTATATCTATCTACGGAAAAAAAATTTCGAAAAAAAAAATACCTTTTTTTTTCTATGGCCATTTCCGGTTTTATACATCCGGTTTTGGACATTCATCAAATTTATATCATATTTATTTTTATGTCATATTAAAGAACTATTATTAAGCTACATAATAAAATTTAAATTATTTTTCTAACTTAATTATTTCTCGAGATATTTGAAAATAAATGAGGCACATTTTGTCAAAAATGTACTATTTTTCCGCGCTTTAAACGCCCATATCTTAGCGAGTAAACCTTGTTGGGAGGTAAAATTTCATTTTTTTCTTAGTTATAGTTTATACTACCATTATGCAAAATTTAAGAAAAATTGAAGAGGGTCGGGTTGAGAATCGACTTTTTTTGGTTGATTTGATATGGAATTCACCTTATATATAAATGAATATGTATAAAGTCGGTATCGGTTGAATTTTAATAAATATCAGCCGATCCGATATTTTAAAGTCTCATATCGATGCCGATCATATTAGATCCGATACTGATATTTAAGATCGTACAACCCTAATATTAATGTTTTCATTTTTATGTACTCTATTATTTTTTTATTGTCATTCTATGACTATACCTTAACCATAAGATAAAATAAGCCGTTTAAATATATTATTATCAAATTTTAATTTAACCTATTATTTTCATATTTCAATTATATTTATCAATGTAAAAATATATAAATATTGATAAATCATATATTTATATAGTAAAATCGTTTTAATCTTTTTTTATTCCAAAAGTAGTATCCCATCTCAGTCTATTCATTATCAATGTAATTTATCAAAAAATTATTTTTTTGGCATATTTTTAAATGTTTATTTAGTTTTTTTTCTTAACTTAATATTTATATTTTCTTAAATATTAAAAAACTAAATATCGATGCTGTAAAATTTTTAAATTAAGATGCCATATTATTGGATCGGAAAATAAAATAATAAAGGCCGATAACCGATATTATAAAATAGACAAATTATCGATTCAATAAAAAATATCGGTACATCACTATTCATAAAAAAGTTACCATTAATATTTATTAATTTCTATTAATTAATAATCAATTTCGTTTTTTTATAATATTTGTCTACAATTTATGTATCTTGCAGGCATAACCTGTTATTCCCGTCATCTGGATTACCCTAGATTTCGTGCCATATGTGATAGCCATGGCGCCATCCTGATGGCTGATATGAGTCATGTGTCTGGCCTAGTGGCAGGAGGTCAAGTACCAATTTCTCCGTTCATTCATTCTGACATAGTGACTACAACCACCCATAAGTCTTTGAGGGGTCCTAGGGCGGCACTAATATTTTATAGGAAAGGTATGTTTAATAAAATATAATTCAAGAATAGCTATACTATTTGTATTGTTTACTTTTAGAAGCTTATAAATTTAGCATGTTCTAAAGCGGTTAATTCTTGTTTGAAGTAATTGAATTTAGGCTTCTAATGTCATTTAAAATGTAAAAATATTTTTTATAAGTAAACGTCTAAATCATAGTTTCAATTCAAAAAGTATTTACGAAAAATTTTTTTTGAAGGTATCAAAAATACTAAAGCCAACGGTGAAAAGGAACTTTACGATTACGATAAGTTAATCAACGAAGCTGTATTTCCTGGGCTTCAAGGCGGACCTCACAATAATGCTATTGCTAGTACGTGCATATAAATTTAAATTCGAATGACATTCACAGTAACGTAACGTTTCTTTTTCCAATTCATTTATCTTTTAAAGTATTAAATTCAAAGATTCAAAATGACTTATTCCTTTTTTACTATTTTTTGTTCTATTACAGATCTTAATTAAATATACTTATTAAATTAATGTTTCTTAAATTAATAGATAAAAAATATGATACATAGAAGATAAAATTTAATGAAGTTTAGAATTTTAAAAATAGGAGAAATAATAATCGATTAGGCTATGTCCTAAATAACAAAAATTGCATAAAAATAATCTCGCGCAATTTGCGCGAGTTTAACGAAAAAAAAATATAAGCCATTTTAAATGGAAAATTAAAATGTTGGCCTAAATGGTTTTTTCGATTTTGCGCATATTACACGATTCTTACAAATTTTACGATTCGTAAAACTTTAATCTTTTTTTCTTTAAAAATTTGCAATTTGTGCGAATGAATAACAATTGATGGAAAAAATAAGGCCTCATAGATTTCTTTGGTGTAATAGCGACCTCAAATATAGGGACACTGCAGCAATTAAGGCCGTGTCCTAAATCAAAAAAATAATTTGCGAAATGCACAACTTTATCGAGTTTTGCGAGATACGAAACATGTCCCGAATCATACATTTATTTTCAATTTTAAAATGTTTGATATGCATGATTTACTATTTCTCTATTTTATATTATTTGAAGATACGACTGAGCCTAGAAGAAGGCATAGATTTTTAGAAGGACGGTATATATGATATGATTTATATTATATGTATTAATTCTAGAGATCAAGGAATTTTTAGAACATTTGATAGTATTCCTTCATATCCTGACAAATTTCGTCAGATGTTCCATTTGCATGTGGAAACATTTAATTTAGGGCTGTGCCGATCCACATATTTTTTACCGATCCGATATTTTCCGATATTGGTTCAAAACCGATCCGATACCGATCCGATATTTATATTAATTTTTTACCACCCCTCTTTGAACCAAATGTAATTAATAAATCAATATTTTTTATGCATAAAAGAATTATGCATAATTTAATTTTTTTATTTCAACAATAATTTTAAAAAAAATATATAATAATATATCCATTTTATGTTGGTTTATAAAATTGTAATATTTAATATATAAAATTATAATATATTAGATTTTTTTTAATAAATATAAGAGCCTCTAGATTTTCAGGCAATAGGCTTCTACGATGAGGACTATCAATATCCCCTGCCGTACTGAAGGCAGACTCAGATGGGACACTTGTTGCTGGAGGAGCCAAAAATTTACGTGCAAGTATTGATAAAGTTGGAAATTTTACAGCATTAACTCTCCAATATTCAAGTGGATTCACTGGGGATATAATATTAATATCATCAATGTTATTCGAGTTTTCTAAATAAATAACACAAATATAAAATTAGCATTTATAAAATAGTGGGTTTCATACAAACCCAATCTTTTGTTGATTTTGAAAAATCACCCAAACAAATGGGTCAATCATAGCCCAACCAAGCAATATTTAAATTAATATGAAAAATATATTGTCATACTTTCTATATATAAAGATTCTTTTAAATATTCCTTGATTTCTATTAGGTATGGCAGGTCATCATTTACATTACTATCGATTTCATTTATTACTAGTTTTTTTTTGATTTTCAATTTATAAGCATCCTTAAATTAAATTTGCATTTTTTAATGTTATGTGGAACATTTTTCTCATTGTCATTACCTAAGTTAACAATAAAATCTAAATTTATTTTGAAAAATATAAAACCTGGCGAATCTTTATTAGAAATTGGAAGTTGAACATTATCTTCACCTTTAAAAAAAGACTCACATGCAGTCCTGAGCTTTTCTATGTATGATATGTTTTTTGGCAAAAAGAAATCCTTATATCGAGGATCAAGTAATGTTGCGACAACATAATTGTCATCATCATAAATATCAAAAAACCGAGTTGTTAATTGATTATTAGTGGTATTCTTCATAGTCTGCACACCTCTTTGTTACTCTCTGAATTGGTTCAAGAACATCAATTACCCTTTCTGCTAATTCCCACTCATATAATGAGAGATTTCCCAAATTAGGATTATCGATAATGAACAGCTGTACCGCCCTTTTTTGTTCTATCAATCTTTCGAGCATATAATGGTAGAATCCCAACGGGTGGGCACATCCTGGATTAATTTGTGCTGGGCTAGACTTAATCGAATTTGGATTTCTTTTAGACAATTTTGTGCAATAGAAGAATGTTTAAAGTGTCCTACTATTTTTCTAACCCGGGCAAGCATGTCAATAATAGATCTCTGTGATAAAATTGCTGCCTGTGCAACCAATTGAAAACTATGTGCAAAACAAGAAACGCTTTGAAATTTCCCATTTTTCATGGCCAAAGTTATATTGGGTGCATTATCTCTAATGATTAGGTGTATTTTATTTTTCTTTATACCCCAATAATTAATAATTTCATCTAAAATTTGAGCAATATTTATTGCTGTATGCGACTCATTAAATGTTTTAACATTTAGAACTCTATTAATTTGTTGAAAATTTTGGTTTATATAGTGGCATGTTAATGAGATGTGAGAATCGCCACCTGAATTTCTAGTCCATATATCTACCGTAAAGGATAAAAAAGAATCGTCAACCAAAATTTCTTTACGAATTTTTTCGGAGAGTTTTTCATATATATCCGGAATAACTCCTTGCGAAAAATACTTTCTATTGGGAATTTTGTAATTTGGACATAAATGATATAAAAGCCTTTTAAAGCCTATATCCTCCAAGATAGAAATCGGCTGGTGGTCACACGCTATCATTTCCCCTATAAATTTAGAAATTATTATTGATTTAGGATCAGAATGTTTCCAAATATTAGTTTTATTAAGAATGGCTGATATTGTTGGCTGACTTTCAGGGCTCTTTTTTTTAAAATTTGATTTGTTTTTTTTTCTAATATTTCTCGTTCTTTTTGTGATAGCTCTTCGAATTCCTTTTGATGGCAACGCTTCAGATGTTTCCTAATGTTAGTTGTATTGAACGAATTTTTCAGTATTCCTCCCCGTGAAATTAGAATTCCGCAAATGACGCATTTTGCAAAATTACCTTCATCTTTATCAAAATATTTCCATAATTCAGAAACCATATTTAAAATAATTTTTATTTAAAGTATAAATAATAAAATTGGTGTTATTTTTTTAAAAAATTAAAAATAAATAAAACTTTGGGTGTTCCTTTCTATTTTTATAAAAAAACTTGTAAAATCTATTTAAAAAAATAAATAACATTTGCATTGTTTAAAAAAAAATTATTTATAAAATATTATTAATGTAAAATAGAAACTCGAAAAAATTTATTTTTTTTAAAATATTTTAAAAAAATTTTTTTTATTAAAAAATAATAATTCAAAGTTTCATTACTCAAAAGTTTTATAAGAATTGCATTTTTAGTAAAAGGATCGGATCGGGTTTTTTACAGGTATCGGGCCGATCCGATATTTTTGAAAAACGCCAAATATCGGGACCGATCCGATCCGATATTTAATATCGGCACAGCCCTAATTTAATTACATACAAAATTGGAATCTATAGACACCACTATAGTTATACATAAAAACTCTATCAGTATGAAGCATAGACTATATATAACACTCATGTATGATGATTATTTTTTTATATAATATCTATATATTTATAGATATTTGACAACTGGTATGAGCTTTAGAAAAATAGCTTTATATGCTAAGATTGGCAAAACATCAGTAAGTACAATAGTTACATCAACTTGTAGATTAATATGGATTGGTATTCAACCCAAGCATCTCTGTTTACCAACAGTTGAACAGATGCTTGAAATTTCAGCAGAATATTTCAGGAAATCAGGTTTTCCTCATATAATAGGATCTATTGATGGAAAACATGTTAAAATAAAACAACCTAAAAAAAGTGGTTCCACATTTTATAATTATAAAAAATACAACTCCATTGTCATTCAAGATATTTCAGATGATAAAGCTAGGTAATTATATATTTTCTAAATTTTAATTCTTTTCTAGATTCATGTTGATTGAAGTTGGCTTTCCTGGGTCTATCTCAGATAGAATTATCTTTTCAAAGAGCCTATTTTATGAAGGAATGATCAATAAAATCATCAAGATACCCAATCCAAATTTTTTACCATCTACAGATATTATAGCACCTTATGTATTTGTAGGTGATGATGCCTATCCTTTGATGGATTTTATTATTTATTATGAAACCCTACAAAACTAATTTGAATGATAATAAATCAACTCTTAATACTAAATTATCAAAAGCCAGAGTATCAATAGAGAGATGCTGTGGCATCATGAGTGCCAAATTCAGACACCTTTATAAACCATCAGAAACTAATATTACCAATACTATACAAATAGTAAAAGCTGACTGCTTATTGCATAATATTATAATAGATCTTGAAGGAAATCATAGCACAGATATAAATCATGAACAATACCCAATCTCAGTTCCAGCGATGGACTGAAAGCTCTAATAATATTAGAGCAACTTTTAATTTATTTGTAAATAATTATATGTAAAATTTTTGTACACATTAATTTTTGATTCCCATAATCTTATATTTCTTAATTCCCATAACCTTATATCTCTTATGAATGTTTTCATTTGTCAAAGTTATATATTTTATTTATAAATATTCAAAAGTGCAAATAAAAGTGTTGTTTTGATTACATTATATAAGTAAGTTATTTCTAATTAATTTAATGAGTAAGATAGTTATAAAATGACTAAATTTCACATAACCTTATATTTCTTAATTTCCATAACCTTATATCTCTTATGAATGTTTTCATTTGTCAAAGTTATATAATTTATTTATAAATATTCAATAAAAAGTGCAAATAGTTTTGATTACATTATATAAATAAGTTATTTCTAATTAATTTAATGAGTATGACAGTTATAAAATGACTAAATTTCA